CGTACACCAAGCTCTTAGGGCTAATGGTTACTCCGACTATACAATCCGCAAAGCTATCACTCAAACCATGAAGAAGAACCCTCTTGAGGAGCCTTTCAAAACCATCACTTTACCCTACATTGCTGGGATCACAAAAAAGATCTCCAAAATCTTGAATAAACACAAGATCCAGGTCCGTTTCAACACATTACATAAAATCCGTGATCTGGTTCCGTCTGTAAAAGATGTGATTCCGGACATACAATACCCTGGTGTCTACAAACTAAGTTGCCTCTGTGGTAGTAGTTACATTGGAGAAACCAAACGCCATGTCTCGGACCGCATTCGTGAACACAAAGCAGACCTTAAACACGGTAGGACCAACACCTCGGCCGTAGCAGATCATTGTTCTAATTCAGTAGGCTCACATGCCATTGACTTTTCCAAGACAGAGGTTCTTTGTAAGCCATCTGGCTTCCATGAGAGATTCGTTCATGAGGCTATCCACATATACAAGCACAGAGACAATTTCAACCGAGAAGATGGATTCTATCTTAGCAATCATTGGAAAGATTTGATAAACCATTTCAGTTCTTAATTGATTGTTCACGCTTACAGTGGCTTTCAGACAGCATACATTATAAAAAATTTCATCTCCCCCCTCCTCTTTTCAGAATATAGATGGACTAGTCCTGGGTAAACTGCCAAATCGCTGCGCGTGGCGCTAACGTTTTTTTATAAATAAATAAATGCGCCGTTTAAAAATAAATTTATGCAAACCAACACACCTGAAGATGACCGTTTGAGTTATGGTCGAAACGTCGTGAGAATTTTTTATTGTGTTATATATATTTTATTATTTTGTTGTTTCTCTTCAACGTGACTTTACCGAAAAAACTAAGAATATGAATTACTGCAGTCACGAAAGCTTTAAATCAAAATTTAGATGTTCGTGTTGTTCTGGTGGCAGTGGTGAGGTTGTTGTTGCACAAACATGTGCAGTCGTTTTTTTACGGCGACAATTCGCCTTATAAAGGAAAAGTCTCTGATTGAGTGTGAACAAATGTCAACTTCCTGCTCCTCTATCTCCACTCATTCCGATCCTGGGCTTTTATCTCAACATCCACGCCAGGAAACTCCACATTCTCACTCACCACTTTGAACCTCCTCTTGCTCGGCCTGCCTTCCCAGTCAGAATGAGAATCCTCATGGTTGGCTACGCTCAGTGCGAAAGAAGTTCAATCTCGAGTGCATATATTTATCCTGGAGAAATCCGATTAGCAATGAAGTTATTTTTCGCACACATCCACCCTAGTGCCACCACATGTTTCACCCCCCTCTCCTCTCTCCTGCGCCTGGGTTTTTTCCTCTCTTGTCCACGCCAACCGAGTCGACATCTGCAACACCCCCTCCGTGTCTTCCCTCCTCGCCTCTCCGCCTCCGACCCAGTCCATCATCCCTCCTCCTGTGTTGGTGAAAAAAACAAGTACCACTTTGTGGAAAGGCAATAGCGGTTGTCCGGTGAACAAAATTGTAATCCCCCCCCCCCAGTCCATCGTAGGAACGCGTGCGATTATTTTCACGACGGGCTTGAGACTGCCCGTGCGAAATTGAGCACCGCCCATTCTTCATTTGGGGGCCACGTGGTTAAACCAGGGTGAAGGTGAAGGGAAGAAGGTTGAGCACTCCCTTTTCTCCGAGCCTCCCCCACGTTTGTCTTTGCCACTTACGGTTCCGGGTTTGCTGTGAGAATACATTTTACCGAGTCTTAACGGGTCACGGGGTGTTACATTTTTTTTTTCTTCCGCGGGGCCCGCCGAGAAAGCTATTGTTCGGCTTCCTCCTTGCCTGCTGTGGGACACGTTTTGTTTTCTCAAAGATTAAACAATAATAGGAAGAGCAATCCCCTTCCCCATGGCTGCTTAGTCACCCTTGGAGAAAATTATCCTTTGCATTATTGAATCACAAATAAGGAAAGGAAACAATTTAGTTTTTGCTCCGCTGGATGAAAGGCAAAGGTGCGGCCCCGCAACAGCTCGCTCAAGGCGCTGCTGGCGAAAGGGCTTCCCACTCGGGGGAGTTATAGAGGACCCCTCCAGAGGGTATTTTGGCAGACTCTCCCATGCTCGCCACAATGTATGTATGTAGGTTGAACTTATTTCGCACCGTACGTAGCCGAACCGTGCTACTCCGGGGTGCGAACTTTCGCAATCGTGGAAGAGCTGGAAGTGCCCACACTTTACTCCACCACGTGCTACCTGCCGCGTCTCCGTTTACATCGCTGGGTGGACAGAGTCGGAGGTGATTTAATAAACCTGCCCCCATCGTTTCAACTGCCATGATCAGGTGATCGAATCGTCGAACCTCTGGAGTGCAAGTTATGAGTGAGGTGCAGGGGAGGTGTAGAGAGTCTGCACCTCCCTCATAAGCAAGTCCCGTGGGAGAACCATCACAACACATGCACCTTATGTGTACGTCAACATTTCATGTTCCAGTGCCAATTCCATCACCAAGAAGGCGAGGCAGATGTACGAACATGGAAACAAAATCAATTGTCACGCAAATATCATCTCACGCTTTATATATTTATTCCTTTTGAACAGAAAGTGAGATGATGTTGCGAGACCCCCCCCCCCCCCACCGCGCCTCCGTGTGTGCATTTGATAATCGGCATTTTATTGCTAATCAACGGAACGTGAAAGAATCCCGGTGAATAAAGAATAACCATTATCCCAATGCACAGCTGCTCCTGGGCCATATTTTACAGCAGGCATTTTACCCAGTCAATGGGCCTAACAAAGGACGGTGCAGTAAATAATGATGAGAAACTATTATTGGAATGGAAATGTCAATTATTTTAATGTGGTCTATGCAGTCGTGTGTGTGTGTGTGCGCGCGTGCGTGTGTGGCTCTTTGCTGAGCTTGGGAATTAGTGTGGGAGCGAGTGAGAGAGAGGGTACGTGAGTTAATAAAATGAGTGCGTGTGTTTTGAGTGAATTGGGTGTGCTTGCACGCACGAGTGAGTGCTCGCGTAAATGCATTGCGCGAGTGAGCAAGTGAGCGGCCGAGTGAGTTGATTTTAGCGTCGCACTTTCCTCTTACGGAGCAGTGGCACAGAGGTCAGAGCCACGACGCTGTGAACCCAGGGCGACACGAGTTCGCTCCCTGACCTGGGATAACAATCAGCGGCAAAGGTGATGTCCGTGCAACGTCCCTATCCCGGGCCACTGCCACCTTCACAAACCTACACACCTGCCTGGCGTGCCCAGGTGTGGTCAGTCAACCACGTGACCTGGCAAAGGCCTTGGGGAAACTTTTGGCGGAAGCCTCCTTCCAGCAGCGGATTGACAATGGACTCTAACAAAATTAAATTGTATTACTTCTCCCCATTTGAAGCTGCTCACTATCTTTGTAGTTAACAGCTCCCCCGGGAGTAGTCGCTGAAAAATTATGCCTCGACGCAAGCCTGGAGGCTGGCCTTGATTAAAACGGATGGCGCACGCAGCCGTCTCAAGGAAATTCTAACTTGGGATCAGATCCTTACGATGCCAGCGCTTGCCTGGCGTTGCACGCTCGTGATGTCCACCTGTGGTATGCTACGCACGCTAAGCGTGGTGAACCAGGCGCAAATTGCATGTCCCCTACGGATTGACCGCATCACGCGTGCGAGGTGCTTGCTGAGAGCGCTTGCCCCAACAGTCTGTCCAAGGCTATATTGGCAGATCTTTGTCCATGATGCACTCCACGGTTACCGCGCTGCACGACGGACCCGTTCAATGCCCGTTCGTGGCCATCACCGGTGATGAATATCTAAACCGGTCCTGGGCCACACTTAGGGCTTCTCAGCCACAAATGAGTACCTGGTGCAGTGTGTAAACATCGTCACGATGGCCACCCACCCCTCGTGCGCCGTGTCCGACCTTCATAGGTGCTCGCGAAGAACACTTGGCCCAATAGTCTGTTGAAGGCTATTCCAGGGATACTTGCCTTTGAAGTACTCAATGGGGTGCCAGTAATGGCCATTAGTGTTCATTTTCACATTCACGTGTCATATATTTAATCTTGAATTTGAGGCCATCTAGCCGAGGGCCGCCCGCTGTTGTACTTTAACACTACGCGAGGGTCTGGCTCGGGGAATGAAATTCAAGTGCTCCGAACTGACCTCGACGGGAAAAAAAAATCTGAAATTGAAATCCCGTGCGAGCATCCGCCCATATTGTGTGTGCGGACGAGCGAGCGAGCGAGCGAGCGTGCGTGCGTGCGTGCATATGTCCTGTCCTTATGCTACCTGTTGCTTCGTATGGCTGTGGCAATACTGTTTGCTATGAAAAGAAAATAACATCAAAGAGATTGCCATGACTGACCCTAACCTGCAAGGTGTCTCTTGAGCAATGGTTTTGCCCTTCGCGTAATTCAGGATGCCCCTGTTTGAATATCCACGGTTTGTGTGGCTGCAAAGACAAACATCCCCCATGTAGCCTTGCACAGAATGTTGGGGCAAGTGCAGTTAGCGAGCACCTATGAAGGTCGACACGGCGCACGATGGATGGGATGGGTGGCTAACACCACGCCCGACCGCCTTTATCACCCCAGCGCTGTTATACCCACCGCACCAGGTACTCATTTGAGGTTTAGGCGATCTAGGGGCAGCCCAGGAACGGTTCAGATAATCGTCACTGATGTTGGCCGTGGGCGGGAATTGTAGTGAGGTCGCCAGGTTGGTAGCGCAGTGCGCTCATCACTGCGCGCCACCGTTCTCCATGTGTTGCTGTACACATGCACGCAGCCCTTCGTGCAGTGTGTGGACTAGTGAGTGTAGCGGGTGGGTTTTTTGTTTGTTTAAAACTATGTGTCACCGTTCTGTACCCTTATAGCTTCATCTCTGCTCTGCGTGTACCTGTGCCCGTGCATCTCCGTCCCGCGCGTCACGACCCCGCGCCCTCTCGCCCGCCCCACGCGCCCACCTACGTGCGTACGTGCGTACGTAGTGCTCACACACGTGCCCGTGCGTGCGCTTGCAGACATCCGCGGGGTGCGCGGGTTCCTGGCGCGCGCCGCCCGCCAGGGAGCCGAGGTGTCGCTGCAGCAGGTGGACGGGAACGTGGGCCGCATGATCGCCTCGCTCTTCCGCTCGCTCAAGTACGAGGAGCTGAACCGCTACCGCGACTCGCTCCGCAGGGCCGTGCTGCTGCTCAACCCGCGCCTGGCGCGCACCTTCATCGCCGAGGTACGCGGCGCTCGCCCATCGCGCTCGCTCGACCGTTGCGCTTGCTCGCTCATCGCTCCCGCTCGCTCATCGATCCCGCTCGCTCATCGCTCCCGCTCGCTCATCGCTCCCGCTCGCCCGCGTTGCCATCGTTCGTTGTGTGTATCGTACTCCTGGGGTATGGTTACTAACGGTGCTGCTCCGTGGTGTCGCGTATTTCACGAGCAATTCTAAAGATGTATGTTTATCCGATGCGTGGAATTTGGGGAACCCCGTGCGCTTGGCCGCCTCAATCTGAGGGTTTCCTGGATGTAAAATGTGCTTTTTTTATATATATTTCTATATATATATTTTTTAAGTTTTGCTGGCTGGCTGGGTGCCTGGCGCGAACCGTCATCGCGGAGGTACGTGGCGCTCGCCCACCGTGCTCGCCCAGCGCGCTCGCCCACGATTAGCATGGTTTGCTACGTATGGTGCGAAAGAAGTTCTACGTGAATACATACACACAAATATACACTGCCGCCACGACTTAAAAAAATTAGTTCGGGATAAAAAAATGCGCGTCTGTCTTTGGAAGTATTCAATGAGCAATATGGAAGCTTGACGGGTAACCGTCTACTGTGGGTTCCTTCCGCCAGCAGCGGCATATGAGCGAGCAATTTCAGGGCTGCACCTCTGGCTTTTTAGCTTGACGGCCACGTGCCTTGCAGTACACGCTTCATCAATGTGGGGGGTGGGGGGGGGGGGCAAGGGGGGGGATTGTAAGAATCGAGTGATTTATCCGAAACTGCGATTGGGGGTTATTAACAGGCTAGCAGGTTATATAAGGAGCGTTTAAAACTTTCTAGAGAGATGTTAAAATATTAATGGAGGTGTATTGAATAATTTACCTTCCAATATAATCGCATTCATCATCACTAAAATCAGTACACCTATTTTGTTTCACATAATGTACCAACTCAGAACCAATATTGCCTTGTTCTCAAAATTTTGAGATTGGCCATCTGCACGTGATGCGTGCCAGGAGTCAGAAGGCCTCTAACATTCAGATGAATTCAACCAATTGCTGTTTGTACAGCTGACAAATATAGGTGGCACGGCACAGTGGTTCACAAAGTTTGGCCAATAAACCTGCCGATCTCAGTTCGATCCCTGACCGTGACTATCATCAGTGGCGAGTGATAGCTAAACCAGAACTAAGCAAGACATTTTTCAGAAAACCGAGAGTTGCGAGCATAGTAAAGTATTTAACTAAACTAATTTTATTTTACCCGGTAAGGCACAATGAGCCTCTATAGCCCCTTTTCAGAAGCGACCTGGCCACAAATGATAGCTCAACGAAGTGGCTTATCATGTGGAAAATTGTAGCAGCCATATTTTCGAAAAGCATGTTTTTAAATGCAGAAGGAAAAAACGGAGGACGCAAAGACAAATCCACGCGACCACGGAAAGAACACGCAAACTCCAAATATGTAGCAGGCGGCAGGGCCAAGATCGAACCCACGACCTCCTGTAGAGCAGGCGAGGTAGTTAACATCTCACCACCGCTATGACTAACACGGCACGCTCTGCGTCCACACCTAAATCGAACAGCCGAGAATGTTTATAATTTCACGTGCTAATGTGTGATACGTGTACATGTGTATAGTACAGCCCTTTTGCCAATCCACTGCTGGATGAGGGCCTCCCCATACCGTGCAGGTCATGAGGCTTATTTGACCATACTGCACCTCGCCAATGCCAAATGCATGCAGATGTAGAAATAGATGCTACTCCTCCTGCAGTGCCACGTAATATACTTTTTTTGAAGGCTATCCATATGTATGATAGCTTGCTCTGACGCAGAGTGTTAAATCTGATCGCACGCATTATCGCACAGCGCTAACTGCACACGGTGGGCCATTAAGCCACGTTAATTATTTCCGGGCCTTGAATTTATCGCCGATGCAGATGGCAGGCACAAACTTTTGAAAGCCATTCCTCAATAATACTGTGGCGCGTCAACGTAATAAATTTGACACTTTGGGAAAAGCACCGGGTAAATAAGAGTAAATAAACAACAAGGATGGCTTCTTGGCTTCTCACACGTCTCACGTGCAACCGTGACTCCCTCGCAGAGTTGCCACTTAAATGGATCCATGGTCGGTTTTAAGTGCCGAATGTGCGGTCCATTTTCACCACCGCGGTATTAAAACAGCGCAAGGTGTTCAGTCGGTAATGCACCGGGCCGGGTAAGAGCGCGGATATTCCAGCCCAAGAGTAGCCACTTATTTGAATAATGGCGTTTGCATGCAGCAAGCATTCAAGCGCCCTAATGCGCACCGTGAATTATGGCAGCGAGCTAAGCTGAGGGGCTGTGCGAGAGGGCATGAACCCCCCTCTCCACAACCCCCCCCCCCCCACACTAGAATGCTCGGGGAATTAACGCATGCACGGCAGTGTGCCCGCCCGCTTGCCCGCCCGCCCGCCCGCCCGCCCGCCCCACCAATCGCTGCGCCATGAAATCCCATCACGACCGGCGGCACTTAGGAACGGCCCCCACGGGCCGTTAAGCCGGCAGCGAGCGTGCGCCGAAGCGCTCGGAGGTCCGCAGCGGCGCTTCCTCCGTGCGTCGCTCCGCGGGATACGCGCTGGGGCGGCGGGGGAAGGGGGGCCGGGCACGGTTTCACGACGCTAACTCGGGAGATCGGGTTACTCTTGTGACGTTCCCGGCACGCTCGCGGCCGTCGCTCGCGCGCACGCACGGTTCGCCAAATCGAATCTTGGCCCCGCGTGCATCCCACATGGAACGCGCGCACACGCGCACACGCACCTCCTCCACCGCCGCAACGACAAGCATCAAATTGCTCTCATCATCTCTCTCCGGTCTTTCTCCATCACATCGATGTGTCAAATACAAGAAGGGAGGGAGCGGCGCGGGAAGGGAAGGCGCCGCTGCTGCAGCCATTACTATCCGTCAGTGATGTGCCCTAACCCCGTGGCGACTTGCTGTTTCAAGGTTATTGTCCAGAAAGCGTTTTGATTCATTTGGTTTTGCCCTTTTCTTCTCAAATTCACTCTCCCTCTCGTTGTCTTTCATTTCGCAATGGGCACGGTGGGGAATTGAACAATATAATTGCAGTAGACTATAGTGTTTTCAGTGTTTTACTAGCCTGGGTATAAATCTACCACATTTTACCACGACAATTTTTTTTTTATATCTTCCAAAATATAGTGAGCCAGCTGTTAAAACTACAAATTGTACAAATGGAAATGCATTGTGTTGTTGTGATGCACACTGGTGGCTAGATGTGAACTCCCTCGCCTGGTATACAGGACGTTGTTGGTTATATCCTGACCCTTGTTGCTTGTATATTTGGAGTTTGGATGTCTCTCTCTCTCTCTGCCCATGGTCCCGTGGCTTTTCCTCCGGGTCCTCCGGTTTTTCCCTCCACATTTTAGGATCAGCACGTTTAGATTTTTTTGCTGCTAGAAATTTCCACGTGATAAGCCACTTCATTGAGCTGTCATTTGTGGCCAGGTCACTTCTATAAAAGAGCTACATATCTAAGGGGGTCTTACCTGGTAAAATAAAAATAGCTGAGTTCATATTGAACTATATCTCAAGATGTTTTACAAGAGGTTCAGCAAAAAATATTGTAATGGAAATAATAAGGTAATTAATCGAAATAACATGAATGCAAGCTAAAGATATGTAAAAAATAACAGGTCAATTAAAACTGCACAAAAAAATTTCATTCAACAAACCCGTTTACCTAATTGAAATTTGAACACAATTGATTTAATCGCAGAATTTTGCCTCCCCGCCGTCGTGCCTTAGAATGTTGAGTGGCGCCACACTTGTGAAAAATAAAGAAAATAACCCCCCAAAAAAAACTTCCCGGCTCATTCAAGGGATTATTAACTGCATAGACCACCTCCATCCCCTCTCCTCTTCTCCCATCCGTCCTCTTCCGTGCCGCGTAAATAAGTTTACCCACCAGCCATCACACGCTGTCTGAACAGCATGGCGGCGGATGACCGCTCAGGGTCCTGATGCGCGTGCCAGGCTTAGGCGGAGTGTTGAGCGATGAGCGGCAGCACGGCTCTCCAGAGCGAGACGCGGTAGCGGTTCAGCTCCCCCATACGTGAGCGTAGCAGAAGAGCGAAGCGATCGTGCGGCCCAACTTCTCCCGTCCACCAGCTGCAGCGACGCCTCGGCTCGCTGGCGAGCGGCGCGTGCCAGGAACCGTGCCCGTGCATGCGTGCGCATGTATGAATGTTGAACTTATTTCGCACCATACGTAGCCAACCGTGCTAATCAGAGAGCGACAAATTAAACACGAAAAAAAAACAGTACTTAAAAATTTGTTTTCAATATAGGTGATTTAAAAGTGCATAGTTACCCAGTGGTTTCCTGATATCGGAAGGAAGAGCGTTCTAGACGGCCACAGAAGCGCATCTGAATGCACTTCGCATTGCGGTGACCGTCTTTGTTCGATGGCCAGAAAAAAGCCGCTGCTGCTGCGGGGATGACCGGGAGTTCGCGTGATGGTTTCCGCTCCTTGGCGAGATCGGCGAGCGTAGGCAGACACGTAGGCCGAGCGTGTGAGATGGCACCGATGGTCACCAATTGGCTCGTCGGCTAAACACGCGGTGGCCTCCACTCGTCAGAGCGTGGGTTGGGAAGAGGCCAGCGTTGGTGCTCGTGCATGAAATGCGCCTCCCATCTCTGCAATGCCCCACCAACCACCCTAGCAAAGTCGCACGTTGTCAGAGTTTGTGAAAGTGGCGGCTCGTGACATTTCCACGAGGTGGGGCTGTTGTGAGTGACTTCTGAAAATACTGTACGGTGTTCTAGTTAAGAAAAACCTCGTCATGTTATTGGCCTTCCCGTGAAAGTGATAGAACTGTCTTATCTACCAACGGATAGGCATTCATAAGCAATACGAATCAAAACAACAAAGCACTCCAATTATATCCCCCGATGACCCTCAAGTCCACACTAGACAACCACTTTGACACTGCCAAAAGCTGTGACC